TAGAATCTCAAGAACATAGCTTCAATAGACTCATTTTCTTCCATTTTGAATGCTTCATACTTCTGGATGAGAGCCAGAGCTTTTGTCTCTTTTACTTGAGCATTTCCTTCATGAGTCATCTTGAGGGATTCAAACAAGTCATGTGTTGTATCTCTGTTGGTGATTTTCTCATATTCATTTTTAGAGATAGCATTCAGAAAGATGTTTCTGGCTCTGTGGTGATTCTTAAAATCTAACTTCTGTTGTTTATCCATGTTCTTTCTGTCAATTTTGTTTCCGTCTTTGTCTTCTGGATGAGTGTACCCATCTAGGACCAAATCCCATAGATTAGAATCATGACCTAGAAAGAAACTTTCTAGTCTATCCTTCCAGTATTCAAAGTCTTCTCCATCAAACACAGGAGATTTGGTGCAGTTGTTGTTGTTTTGTTCAGATGCCATAGTGTTTTCCTTCTGGATCTTTTTTTGACACTGTTAGGTGTTTGCACCCAGAACTAGAGCTCTGATGCCAATTGAAGGGTGAGAAAACACTTAGAGGGGGGGGGGGGGGGGTGAATAAGGTTTTTCCTTTTTCTCGCGCAACAATAATGGAAGCACACAAGTATTTTTATCCTGGTTCGTTTGAAACTCAAACTACTCCAGTCCACCCGCCAAGGTGATTTTGCCTCTCTCAACGAGGACTTAATCCACTATAATCAAACTGATTACAAATTCACAACCAAACTGGTGTGACTAACAATATAATGCACAATCCAACTGCAAGTGACTAATACCTCTAAGACTCAAACTAGTCCTAACCCTCTTGAGAAATCTGACCCAACTGGTCTCTCAAGGAACACTTACAAAATTCTCTCTTAATAGTAGTGAAACAGATTTGCTTCTAAAAAACTTTATCACAAACTGTGATTTATCACTAAGATTGTTGCCCAATACTTAAGATCTACCCACTATACAATATTAGTTTACAAGTATGAAAACAGTGAGCGTAAGTATGTTTCACGTAAGTCAGTAACCTTTCTTTGAAACAAAAGGTCTTCTATATATAGCTTCCAATTCTTGACCGTTAATGCCTTGATGATAGTGCATGCATTTAATGAAGCGTGTTTGCAATGATGCATATTGCGTGTAGGCTTGGTCTTTACGTTTCCAATGCTCGTACGCGTAGTACACTTGAGTGCGTTAGCCGTCTTTAGCATTTAATAACCAACGACACTGTCAGAGCTTGTCTCTGGAAATTGAAGTGTTTGCTTGTAGCGTTGCCATTTTAGAGTTTACTTGATCTTTTCTTCTATCCGAGTGTTCTTCAAGTTATGTGTTCATCAGAGTTTGATTTAATCTTGCATTATCAGATGTTGCTTTCAGCGTGCTTATATCAAATCTTTGCTTCAGCTAGCTTTATCAGAGGTTGCTTAGGATTGCTCTTCATCAGAGTTTGCTTTGGAGTGCTTCCTTCTGAGTTTGCTTTGGACTTATGTAGAATGTTGTTTATTTCTAAGATGCATAAGTCAAAACATCATCTGAACTTAGAGAACATACAAGTCAGAGTATAAAATATATATCACAAAATTTATTTCATTGTTATCATCAAAACTCTAAGATATGATTAGAACCAAACTTGGTCTAACAAGTTCTACAAATACACTGAATTAACAATAATACATAGTTGACATTAACACATAATTGATATTAATAGATAAACATGTTCATTACACATGCTCACAACACACTATAGAAATTCTAGGAAACATTGACATGTTTTATACACATGTTCAATAACACATTACATAATTGACATCATTCCAAAAGTGATTCAAAATACAAGTAAAAATATTAAACATATAACATTCCAAAAGTGATACAAAATATAAGTAAAACATTGTAATCAGACATGGCTAAATGTTCTTCATTTTCGTGGTCCTCTTTGTTGGAGTAACTCATTCATTACAGGTAGTGGATCCTGCAAAACAACATACAAACAACACAACAATTACAATGTGTATAACATAAGAGAAAATAATTACATAAGAGAAAATAATCATGTTTACATACCTTTTTATTGATCTGAAATGAATGTGTATGGGATACATTCATTTCTACCTCCAAGGTCATCAATCAAGGGCTCCAAAAATCATATTCAGCTATCCCTATTTTCACCCTCCACAACTGCAAATGCTATTGGAAGCATGTGATCATTTGGATCCTGCTTATGGTTTCTAGAATTTGTCCTTCACAAAGCCCCTTTAAAAAGAAACCATCAAGTCCTATGACATGTCTACATAACTTGAAGATCTCCTTACATGTTGTATAGCATATGTAAAGTCTTCTGAATAGGATATTTGATCATCTATACCTTCTTGAACATGATCAACATTAAGTTTCATAGTTGACCCTAAGTTTTCTCTTAATAGTTCACGACAGTCATATATTCTAGTGTAACCCCTTAATAAATAACCACCAACCAAATCTCTAGCTTTAAATCTTGCTCTTATTTCCTTAGTCTTGTTAACACCTACATTCCACTTCCTTTATGCCTTTGCATTTATATCCTTGATCTTTATCCTAGGATTATTTTTTAAAGAGTTTTAAATCCTCTTGCTCAACCACTTGGTAGTCACCATCTTCATATTATACTCTCTGCTATAATTATGTTTATCATTTACCTTCCTTAATTTCCGAGATTCTTCATTTGGAAATTTGGCATAATATGCTTCCCACTCACAACTAATTTTACATCTAAACCTCACCCTTATTTTGTCATTTTTAGTGAACTTATGGTTTCTACCACTTTGGACAACATATGATCTTATGGCTTCCTTGAAGTCATCTTTTGAACTAAAATACATTTCTATATCCCATTTGTAATTTGACATGCCCTTTTGCATCTTGAACATTGAGTAACTCTTTCTTGTAGCACCACTACTATCATCACTCTCACACCACTTTCCAGTTCTTCACTATCAATTATCACTCTCTTTAAATTCTTCCTTGTCTTCTTCCCATTTTTATTTCTGTTTTTTTGCCTTTTCCCTCTTTATGTTTCCCCCCCACTTCATCATGTTCATATTCAAGTAGATTAGCAATTTTATCTTCCTCAAAATCATCGCACCCATAAGAGGAATCCTCAAAATCTACTTCCAGAGTCCTATCATAATTATACAAGTCATCTTCATTGTCATGAGAACTTACAGCATTGTGCATCTCACCACCCTTATGCACTTCACCATTAACATCCTCCATACCAACATGAACATCCTCCACACCAACATTATCATCCTCAACACCAAATTAACATCCTCCACACTAACATTAACATCCTCAGCTGCCTTCTTCATACATTTTAGCAAGCAAATATTCCTCCCCATTGACAATGTCAGCATTGTCTACTTCTGCTTCTATAAACCTATCATAATAATTAAGCTGAGACAACGTGTGTTGGATATAAATGTCAACACTTAGATGCACCATGTAAAGATCAACTATTTCTAATGCACCTTTATCATCAAACAAAACATTCATCTTAAATGAGGGGTCTTAGTAATATACTGTCTCAAAATTTCTATAACCTAACTCCTTCAGTACACCTACCAACTAAAAAAAAACTTCATTTGTCAACACCTATTTTCAAATCATCAACTTGTCCTCCTTCATACACATTAAGTCATCATCAATGAGTTCACCAATGTGGTAAATTCTTAGTTTTAAATATTCGTCCATTTCACCCATTGAAATCAATTTCCAAATTAATTTGTGCCCTAATACACTTACATAACAACAAACAAAGCCATAAAATATGAATAGCCTTAAATTACTAATACATGCAGAACGAATACATGAGCCCCTAACATGAATAACCTCAAATTACTAATACATGCAGAATGAATACATGAAAAGCCCTAAAACACGAATAATCCTAAATTACTAATACATGAAGAACAAATACATGAAAAAACCTAATTTTTTTCCACTCTCAGAACGAATACATGAAAAGCTCTAAATTTCTACCACTCTCAGAACGAATACATGAAAAGCCCTAAATTTCTACCACTCTCAGAACGAATACATGAAAAGCCCTAAATTTCTACCACTCTCAAAATGAATACGTTCAAAAATTACTGACTTGTATTCAATAGTGTCTTCAATCCTTCACGTTGCATTCGATTTCGCCTTCAATAACGCATTCAATCTTGAAAAATGTTGAAGCTCCCTTTGTTTTCTCTTTCGCACTACCAGAGCAATGTTGAAGTTCCAGGGCTTTTCATTTTCACTTTCTGAAGATATCTTTTTATTTTGCAATACTTATTGATGTTATATCCACATCGCTATTGAACAACTCCACGTAGATGCTTTATCCTGACTTTGACTAACGAAAATAAACATAATGAAAAACGTGGCACTATTTTAATAATTAATGAATCGATTTGAACATTTTAAAAATTAAGTGATCAAATTGGACTCTGAGATAATATTTTACTAGTCGAAGTGAAATAAACAGTGTAATAAATACACTCAAATAATAACATTTCGATGATTTCTTACTTTCAAAAGGTATTTGAGAAATTCATAGAATAGAATGAACTATCACTATAGTTATATATGTTTGGTCTTGCCTTTGACAAAAAAAAAGGTCTGGTCTTGCTTTTTTGTTTCCTTGTTTTATGAGAATAAAAGTAGTGTGCTATTAATGTAAATTAATTTTAACATTATAATTCAATAAAATTATAAAATTCAATCATATCATATCAATATTTTAAAATTAAAAAGGCGACTTAACGGAATCCATGTGATTAGTTGAACAGATGGAAAAACTACATACTTTATTTTTCTTGTGATGCTACAATTAGTTACCAATTTTTTTACCAACATATTTATAAAAGTGGGTCAAAGGAAACATTTCCCACTAGAACACTACAGAAACTGAAAGAAGAAGAAGAAAAAAAAAAAATCCCGTGACGTAAACACAAGCAATATCCACTATCATCAATTAAGAACAATAGCATCGCAATGTTGATAACAGCAAAACCCACTCACCTACAACCATGGTGGTTACCATTCCCAGCATCAACACCACTTCCCAAACGAACAACCTTCAACACCAGAAGAACCATCCTTCTCAACAACAACAACGACGACACCACCACCACCAACACCGCATCTTCTTATCCACCGATGCTTAAAAAGAGAATCCGCTATCGAAAACTCCACCCCGGAGAAACTACCGGAATCACCGAAGAAATGAGGTTCGTCGCCATGCGACTTCGTAACGACAAAATCAACAACCCCGTTTCCACTCCCGCCCCTACTTCTACTGTAGAAGACGGCAAAGAGCAACTCCCTGAAACGTGCCATCCTTCCTTAGAAGGGTTTATCCGATTCTTGGTTGATAATCAACATGTTTTCGCCACACTCGAACGCATTATTGATGATTCCGATGACGTTTCCTGTAAGTCCAATTATTAATTGCAGTTATAATTGAATAATATCATACCGTTGTTAAATTCTAGTCACATTCTAGTTAGGTATTAACTACTTGTTTCGGTATATGGTAGCTAAAATTGATTTTGGATAATCATTTTAGGTTAATAATAGCGTTTGTAGGTTTTTTTTAAATAGCGTTTGTAGGTTAAAAAAACTCTTAATGCTGAATAATTTTGTTTGTATATGTAGAATGACTTTTATTAGGTTTTATTAAACGGCGACAAAACGGTTTTGGAAGATGCCGTTTCCGTTATTCACTGTATTTGTTTGTGATAAAGAACAAATAATGGTTAATTCACAATGCAGCAGCCGCAATCACGGTCTCAACACCTGTATCAACTGAAATCACGAAAGCCTTTACAGGACCGCAACGTGATAGTGACTGTTATTTAAAACACTGTCGCCGAAAAACAAACACGCACAAAGATCTGTTTGGATTGACATATTGAAGTTTATCTATTTTGCTTGAAGCACTTATGAGACTGTTTGCAAGAGCTTATATAAAGAGCCACTGTAGTCAAGATCGAGTGCTGGATCATAAGATGTTACATGCCAAGGGAGTGCTGGATCATAAGATGTTACATGCCAAGGGTGCCTGAGAGTGCTACGATAAGAGAAACATTGTTTCCGTCGCTGGTGTGGTCAAGATCGAGCTTTTTGAAGCAAGATCGTAAAAAAAAAAACATAGCTAGACCTTTTTTTGGGTCTGAATTATAATTTTCATGTTTTTGTATGTGTTTGTATAAATATATATATGAAATTAACATTTTTCCCTCTGGTAGGATCTTACATGTTGTGCTAACGATTCGAGTTTTACGATCTTTCAAAAGCTGATCAATCCTACTTAAGATCTCATGTTTGACTATGTTGGAAAGAACTTACGTGTCAACTTATTTCTATAAGCTCTTGCTTTTTTTTTTCCTCACAAAAACATATATAGTTTATATGAAAAATTGCTTTATTTTATCTTTTATTATAGAAATAGCCTATATACGTAGTTATACGCTAATCACTAATGTTATAAGAGCTTAATTAAATTGTGTATCCAAACAGGGCCTAAATCGTTTGTGTGATTTATTTTTGATTTTGTGTTATGATGGTGGTTTTATGTGTGTTGAATTGCAGATGCCTACTTGAGAAAAACTGGATTGGAAAGATCAGAAGGGATTTTGAAGGATCTAGAATGGTTGAAGGAGGAAGGTGTTGAGATTCCCAATCCAAGTTCTCGTGGGATAACATATGCAAAATATTTGGAGGAACTTGCAGAAACAAGTGCACCTTTGTTTCTCTCCCATTTCTACAATATCCATTTTTCTCATATAACTGGTGGCCAGGTTATTACAAAGCAGGTACCCACTTTTCCCTCTCTTATAGAGAGTCCAATCTATTTAGACGGTGATTTTATGGCTCTTTAGTCACACAAATTCCTTATTAGCTTATAGATGTTTGTTATGAAGTTAAACATTCGACAAATCCAAATGGAGAAGCTAAATTTAACTTATACAAGAATTCCTTGTTTAACCAACAAGGTGTGGTTGAGTAGCTAGTAGCTTGAGCCCTTTAACCACATGTCTATAGTTCGAACCCTGATGATGAGAATAGAGTTTCATCTATTGGTAAAGGAGTTGTCTCTTACCTGGTACCCTGCTTCCTCGGGGATTAGTCATACAGTCGCCGGCTGTGAGGATACCCCGAGTCCATTCCCGGATTAAAAAAAACTAGAATTTATTGTTTAAAATATTCAGTCCTTTACTCACAAAAATGGATGGAATTTTTTCACTGTTGTCTCATTGGCTTACTTATATTGTTATTGCTTGTAGGTTTCTGAAAGGCTCCTGGAAGGTAAGGAGCTGGAGTTCTGCAAATGGGAAGGAGATGTCCAGGAAATGCTGAAAGATGTACGTGAGAAGCTTAACATGCTTGCAGAGGTTGAATACTGAGAATCCTTTATTTGTGGCTTTAGTAGTATAATATTTAGCTGCTGCATTAAACTTTCTATTTATGTGTACTTGTATTTTATGCAGCATTGGTCTCGGGATGAAAAAAATAAAATTTTAAGAGAAACAAAAAAGTCATTCCAGTTTATGGGACAGATTGTTCGCATGATCGTCTTATGAAGATCCTGCTTGGTTCTCAGTTTTTGTTCATAGGACTGACTTTTTTTATGGTAAGCCTTCTAAAGATATATTCTTCCTTTAACTTTTTATGATAATTTTTTTTTTGTATATGCATTTTGATTTCATTTGTTTTGGTCCAGCATTTCAATGCAATTACAATTATAAGTTGTGTGGCGGTTCAATTGGACTACTAGTTCAGCCTGAAAAGTGGTCAAGGGCCGAGGCATGTTGCCGTGTCTCACTTTTTCTGGCAATTTCAATGTTTTCCCAAAGCTTCCAGGACCTGATTACATCTGTTATGGATTTTCCGATCCTTATTGATATAGATTTTAATGGTTAAGCCAAGGTATAGGGTAATTCTTTTCATTAGAGGTGTAGCTTAGCGGAACTACTTTGAGATAATGTGTTCTAAAATATAATCCCCATGATGTTTCAATATTAGTGAAGATTTCTTTCCTTCTGTGGCCATTGTTTCCTACCTGCACTCTCTTTTGTAGCTATTTATGCTTGAGATCACTGCTTGAATTCTTTATAATTTGAGTGTTATTGAACATGTAATAATCTTTTCTCAAACCCATTAGTTACTGGAATTGTGCTACCAAACCCCTGGGAGCTCATTGCCCAATTGTGATGCTATCTCTCCCCTTTCATGATTGGCTAGGTCATATGGATCCCCTCTATTTTCATTTCTTTACTGTAACTATTTATTATCACATGCATACTCCATTTTTTTGGTTTGAGATGTTAGCCTCGTTGGTGCTCAAACTTTGTGCTTAGAAGGTTTTATCAGCATTGTTTTTTCTTCTGAAGAGGAAGGAGAAAGCCATTGCCACTTATTTTTAAAAAGGACTTCACAATGCTAGACTTTGTGTGTGTTTGTTTTTGCTTCAGTAAAAAATATTTATAGTGAGATGATTGATCTTACCTGATCAGACTTAGACCGTCACGACTGGTTCCGGGCAGAATTTGAGTGAGATGGGGGGTACCTGCAAGGCACTCCGATGCTAAAATGAGTGACAGAATGAGCAAATAAAAAGTGTATGTATGCGTAAGAGATGAATACCTGACCCTATAGGAACAGAAGGTATTTACAGCCCCCAGTGCGGGGTCAAGGTCCCCTCATTGGGCCGACCAGAATTGGTCCAATAAAGAAACTGCCAGGTTTTACGTGTGTAGTGGGGACCCGCACGTGGTCCCCTTCCTGGTGATGCTCTGCGAGAAATGAGGAGGGACGAAGACGCGGTCTTTCCGGAGTTCAGATGATCTGATAACAGTTAGAATCTGCCCTACGAGGAGGGTGCTCGAGCTGGGCTCGAGCTGGAGTTCCCGTGATCGGGGACACCATATGTCGCGGGCAACGGCGAGCACGACTGCAGTCTGTGGTCGGGCGCGCTGGCGGAAATTCGCGGGCGCGCGCTCCTCGAGGAGATGCTTGGATTAGGCCTTTGTTCTTGCTTTTGGGCCAGGGTAGGCCCAGTCCAGAACAGGAGCCCCCCAAGTCGTGGCTCTTGGAGCAGGAGTTATGACTTGACTTTAGCTCGTCTTTGCTACGGGGTCTGATGCTCGACCCATGATATTTCCTTCCCTGTGATTGCTCGAGAAGTTTCTCATGAGTTGCGTTCGTAGCGTAATCCTTGTCGATGCGTGCTCGGGGGATTCCTCGCGGGCTGTGTTCGTTGGGTGCGCGAGGCAACCCTTGGGAACTGATCTTACCTGATCAGACTTAGACTGGCTCCGGGCAGAATTTGAGTGAGATGGAGGGGGGGGGGGGGGGAGGTACCTTCAAGACACTCCGATGCTAAAATGAGTGACGGAATGAGCAGGCAAAAAGTGTATGTATGCGTAAGAGATGAATACCTGACCCTCTAGGAACAAAGGGTATTTATAGCCCCCAGCGCGGGGCCAAGGTCCCCTCATTGGGCCGATCAGAATTGGCCCAATAAAGGAACTGCCAGGTTCTACGTGTGTAGTGGGGATCCGCACGTGGTCCCCTTCTTGGTGATGCTCTGCGAGAATGAGGGGGGGGGGGGGGGTACCTGCAAGACACTCCGATGCTAAAATGAGTTACGAAATGAGCAGGCAAAAAGTGTATGTATGCGTAAGAGATGAATACCTGACCCTCTAGGAACATAGGGTATTTATAGCCCCCAGCGCGGGGCCAAGGTCCCCTCATTGGGCCGACCAGAATTGGCCTAATAAAGGAACTGTCAGGTTCTACGTGTGTAGTGGGGATCCGCACGTGGTCCCTTTTCTAGTGATGCTCTGCGAGAAATGAGGAGGGACAGAGACGCGGTCTTTCCGGAGTTCAGATGATCTGATAACGGTCAGAATCTGCCCTACGAGGAGGGTGCTCGAGCTGGGCTCGAGCTGGAGTTCCCGTGGTCGGGGATACCATATGTCGCGGGCAACGGCGGGCACGACTGCAGTCTGTGGTCGGGCGCGCTGGCGAAAATTCGCGGGCGCGCGCTCCTCGAGGAGATGCTTGGATTGGGCCTTTGTTCTTGCTTTTGGGCCAGGGCGGGCCCAGTCCAGAACAGGAGCCCCCCAAGTCGTGGCTTCTAGAGCAGGAGTTATGACTTGACTTCAGCTCACCTTTGCTACGGGGTTTGATGCTCGACCCAAGATATTTCCTTCCCCGTGATTGCTCGAGAAGTTTCTCATGAGTTGCGTTTGTAGCGTAATCTTTGTCGATGCGTGCTCAGGGGATTCCTTGCGGGCTGTGTTCGTTGGGTGCGCGAGGCAACCCTTGGGAACCGTGACGCCACCCTAGCGACAGTAGGGCCATCATTGCCTAGGGGAGTAGACGTCGAGGAGGGGAAGTTCGTGGTTCCCCAAGACGACGTTTCGTATTCCACGTCATCCCTCTAAATAGGATCTTTGGGTCCCATAATTTGTTTTTCCTCTTCGCGCTTCTCCTTCTTCCTCTGCCTTTGCCGCCACTGTTCTTCTACAACTTCGCAAGATTACCGCACCTTCCTCCGTCGAGATTCTTTACCGTTTCTGTACATTCTTCTTTACTTCCAAGTAAGCGTTTATCCCTCTTATTTTTCTTCGTTTGTAGGTAATTTTACTGTGATTTGGATGTTAGAAACCCATATTTGGGATTAGTGCCCGGTACATTCATGTCTGTGCCCGTTACATTCATGTTTGTGTCCGGTAAACTCATAGCTTTAGGTATTTGACTCGCGATGCTGCCCGGAACCTTCATGGTCTTGGGCGCATAATCTATGATACTGCCCGGTAAACCCATAGTTTTAGGTTTAGGATTCATGATATTGCTCGTCAAATTCATAGTTTAGGTCGGCGCACCCATGAGCTGGTCGGGATGTTGACCCATTAGGAAGTATGTAGGACAACTCGTCGTGGTACCTTAGCGTTGGGGAGGCGAAACCAGGATCTTGTTCGAGTCCTCAACGTTTTATCGCGCGCGGAGTGTGTTTTGGCTTGTCGTGCACTACTTCCTGTCAGTTATGGCGAGCATATGGATTTGCTCTCGAGTTTCACCGATTTCATGTGCTTTGTAGGTAAATGGCTGACGAATCGGAGTCTTCGGGGCGTAATGAGGTCGAGGACCAAAGTGCCGAGGATAATGTAACTCTTGTTGATACCGACGATGATCCTCCGTTGGATTGGGTGGGCGCCGAGCCCCGAGGGATTGCCTCGGCATATAGTCGGCATAGTCGGCGCACATACACTACCGTCGAACACGGTGGTAGTCAGCCGGGCTTCCAGAAGAACTTTATTGTGACAAGGCCGTCCCTCGACGCACGAATCTGCTCGGAGTTCTCCGAGTATGGGTTTCCAATGTATGAAATCGCATTCAAGGACCTCGCCTTAAGCTCCCTTTCAGTGATTTCCAAGTCGGGATATTCTGCCATCTGGACTTGGCCCCCTCGCAGCTTCACCCCAATTCGATTGCCTTTCTTCGGGCCTTCGAGCTGACATGTCGCTTCTTGAGGATCGGGGCGACCATTCCTCTCTTCTTCAGAGTTTTTCACTTGCAACGCCAGTCTCGAGGAGGCAGGCATAGCTGGGTTTCCCTGAAACAGTCGAAGAGGCTGTTCAGGATGTACATGGATTCAGTCCGGGGTTTCAAGGACAAATGGTACGTCCTGCAGCCGGTCACCCATACTGCTTTGGATTCTATGTATGAAGAGGAAACCACAGTGGCCGACGAGAACGAGGAGCCTCTTATGGACGCTGAGGGTCGCCCGATGGTGAGGCGTGTATCCAAGTTCCTGTTGCATTGATGCTCGCGCTATTACGAGCATGGTACCGGACACTACCATACGCCCGCGGGAGGAATGAGTGCCGAGGATGAGGAAGCCTATGATACCTTTTGTAAGTATGTCGACAGCTTCTTCCCTGCCCGGTGGGTCACGAGGGAGGGGGAAGACATTCTTGACGAGGAGGGTTACCCGACATTCGAGGCCCGTCCTATCGATACCAAAGCGCTTGTCGAGTGCCAATCCTACGGGCAGGCCGTAGATCTACTAGGTTGCTTTTTGTCTTATAGTTTTGTTCCAGTTTCTTTGTTTGTTGTCTGCTCGTAACTAACCCGAGCTTTCTTCTTTGCAGTCAATATGGCCGAACGAAGGGAGATGCTTTTAAAGCTGTCTCAGGACAAGAGAGTGAACAGGAGGTTGGTGCGAGCTCCACAGGCCACAAGAATGGGCCCGCCGACCAGTTCAGGTGATGCTTCTAACGGGTCCCAGGGTTCCCCTGACGTCGAGCAGCCCACTGAGCTGATAACAAGAAAGAGAAGCCGAGCAGAGAACCAGTCGGAAGTCGGCGACGAGTCTGTCGCAGTGAGGGCCTTTGGCTTGCCCCTCTGTTTTAAAGAGGAAGGTTTCTTCGAGGGGTTTCCCTTGACAGTGAGTGCCGAGGAGGCTGAGACCATCAGGCGGCTCGATAAAGAGAGTCGGAGAAAACACCTGGCCGCTAGTATGGTCGGGATGGTTAAGATGGTCGAGATGGCCGTTGTCCTTGCTGAGGAGGGG